ATATTATATATATATATATATGTAGTGTGTGTATGTATTTGTGCATGTATGTATGTGTGTACACGCACATGGACACGTTTGTGTGTAAATGTATATTTTATGCGTACGCGCGTTTTATTTCTTGTGTTTATTACCATACATGAAGATTCATTGTCTGTTGATGGTGGTTTGAGTTGCGTACAATTCCCTCGTCTACTCTGTTATTCAATGTGTATTTTTGTTTACTTGCAACTATCTATCTTTATTACTATATTTGCTTATTTCTCTGCATATATTGTATCTGAGAACATGAGATACCCGTGTATAGACTAGCATCACCTCAAAGCCTCTTAAGCTCAGTATTGTTAATCGTCTTGTTAGTGGCACTGCTTTGTATTGGTATTGTGTTGTACTGAGTTTGTTACTCTTCTCGAACTTACAAAGCCCGTACGGGGCACACTTGCAATTGCCCCCTGATTGAACTTGTCGGACTTCACTCGGTCCCAGTACTAACCATTCTAAGTTCTTTTCTCGTGTTTCTTGATTTCACACGGTCTCATTATTATCCATTCTACGTTCTTATCTCATGTTTCTTGGCTTCACGTGGTCCCTGTAGTATTCATTCTACGTTCATTCGTATCTCATGTTTCTCATCTGTTGCTGTCCTGTACTTCTTTGTGAGCAATGGTAGGCCGGCTCTTTTAGGCGAGATCTCGGCAACTGTCGATAACGCAATCGGTGGAGCGCTCTCTATCTGGAGTCTATAAACCCCCGAAGTCATTACTGTTAATGTTCCTAATTCCTAGTTGCAGAGAGCATTCTGTATAATAAACTCAAACCGGGGAAAGGAAATTAAGGAATTCAAGGTTTGGGGACAATGGGGGGTGGAAAGTTGCTAGGCGTTCACTTTTTGAGCTGTTTCCATTGGCTACAATATAGTGCTGAGGCGTTGTGATTGGTATATATTTTACGTTACTTGGTGTCTTTTACTCCTCGTAATCTTTGCAGCTTTTTTTTTCTGTTTTCTTTTGTTTTTTTATTGCAGTATGTAGGAGAACTGAGGACATAGAAGGTGGATCGATAGATACATTTTAACAGATTCGATATGTTGAAATATAGGTAATTGTAGGCAGATTCAAGATATGTATGAGCAAAGTCGTCGACTCTGGCAGAAAACCGTTCTAGAGAGAAAGTAGAGAAGCATGCTGCATCGTTCACTACCAGAACACTCTTCCACATTGTACAATACCCGGTATATAATCAACGGTCAATGATTCATACGTTTCACTTTTACTTTGATATACTTCAAGCAAAGCAACATAGACAATAGTAATTTCAATCTAAGGGGACCGGCCCGATACTTACCACACTCTACACATATTTACAAAAACGTATATTCTTTATAGCTTTGAACCATGTTCAGTCTCGCGCCAACCTTAGTTCTATTCGGAGCTACCTTTCTAGGAGAAGTACTCGCTTTAGACTTCCCAATCAATCTGCAGATACCCGAAGATGGAGTTCTGGGTGACACCTTTGGCGATAGTAACATTGAAACACTCCTGGACCCATACACCGAATTAGACTTCACCCCAACGGAGGAGCTTGCACATCTGCAATACACAGACAACTTTACCGTGGAACTGAGACGACGGGTGCAGCTTGCCTTGGAACGTATGTATCACACAGACATGCATGTATACATGCATACAGTTTGTAGTCAAGTGTATAGTGAATTTTTAAGTTTTAGGATCGGGTTTTAAAGATCATACATCGAACTTTCTGAAAAATGCTTTCAAACTTCATGACTAATTCTCCTTTCTTGCTTGTATTCAGTTCCTTTCAAAGAAGTCGATTTCGAGACGCACTATGATGAAAACGGGGAAGTGGAATATTATCCCGTGTACCAATTCGACAACGGAACTACCGTCACCGTGAAGTCCGACTATGTAAGTATTAGAATTAACACCCATCATATGCACACATTGATTTGGCATATCATACTTTAATACTAGTCTGCTACACCATGTCTGTATTCTGTACTTTTATCTGTCCAAAATGCCTTTTCTTTTCGTACAGCACAACTGTGTTTCGTACTTGCATTTATCTTTATGTATATTTTTTACTTTAAAACTATAGCTTTACCGTTACGATATGTGAGTAAGGATGTCATTAAATAATACACAAAGAAAAGATATAGTAACAAAACGTGTATTTATCGCAATAAACATAAATGCGAAGTTATATTGACAAAATGTGTATAAGCAATAAACATAAAGCAAAGTTGTAGTAACATAATGTGTATGAAACAGATGCGAATATAATCGGTTCTGCGACAACATGGAAATTTATTCGCAGCATGATGCAATTTTGAACTCATTCCGAACAGGCATTCGCATTCCTCCCATTCAACCGCTTTCGTTACATACATTCATACTCGTTTGGCAGTATCAAGTTCATCTGGCATACCCAAAACGCACACAATCTATTTCCAAATATCGCATCTATCGCCGAGCTCAGCTCTGACCTGGGGTTTGACACAACCCCCCTGCCTCTCTACCTACCAACCACAGCTCCTGTTAGAGAACGGACACTTGGTTCACCAGGACGATGTTGGTGGCTACTACAAAGAAAACGGAGAGAATGTGGGCCAAGGGGACGATCCCGCCTTACTAGAAGGACGGACCTTTGTGCACGAAGAACGATTTATCTGGAACCAAGCGCTAGAGGCCGGTCGAGTGTCGGCGTGTGGGTGTACTGGACTGCAGGTGATGCTCAAAGAGGAATGCGTTCCCTCGCTAGAGCACGCGATTGAGAATAGTGTCGCTGGTAAGTTTCTGTTTTGTATACATTGAGAGAGAGTAGTAGAGACTATGGCTTCATGCGAGCGTATGCCATCCTGCGATGTGTTGCTGGACTGTGAGCATTGGGAGTAGAAAATAATCACCAAAGTATGCGCGGGATAAAACAAAAAGGCCATTATGTATGCTTTTGACTTGGGGCCATATACTGGGGGTCTCGCATCAAGTCTGGGTTGTACCTGGGTCTACATGCTGATAAACTAAGGAGTTGGTGCGTACATAAACTTAGTTGTTACTTGGCTAGTCGTGCCTCTCAGGTGGTGGCGGCTATCTTTGTCTTGGGCTGGATGTGCGAAGTCATTGCTTACACACGCACTTGCATACGTGTACCTTTCAGTTGTTTCCTAGTTGCACTTAAACGCATGGCCGTAGCATACATCTGGTATATACTACCTTGGTCTCACGTTTATAAGCAGAAACTGTGATACACTGATTTGTGTGGAAAATAGTGCAAACCGTGACTCAACTCTATGCCAGTGATCGGGATAAGAGTACGTACCGTATTTCTTCAGGCCACCCACTCATATTAAATACTACGGTGCTTACATGCCTGACCTTGCGCCCCCTCCCACTCCAGGTGACGTGATCATCCTATCCAACAACAATACTATCAGCAAGCCAGTTTACTTCGGACACGACCTCGCATTAGTGGGAGAGACCTGTGATGACTATGGCAAGCCTACGTTGTATGTGAACTTCCACGACAAGTACAAGGCCGGTCTGATGCTGACCAAGTAAGTAGGGTTCTGCGGTTGGGTTTTAGGGTTTTAGTTATCACGAGAAATATGAGGTCGGACTTAGGCGTGCTAGCGATGGCGGTTGCTTGGGTAAAGTACTGAATACACGTGTGGTGCTGCGTATGAATGAAATCAATTGCGAACGGGGTTATAGGGCATATACATATATATATATATATATATATAATAAGTATATATATATTATAGGTATATATGTATATGTATAATATAGGTATATAT